GATAGTTCTGCCCCTGGGAAGGAATCCGTTTCACTAATGAGCGATCGACACGAGCGCGCAATTCGAAGGCCAGTGCAATGCTTATAAAGGTGGTCTTGCTAAGTCGCCGATGTGCTAACGCTGATCCACTTGCCGCTTTGAAGCAACACTCCTCCAGATGTGTCCGTCGCAGCGGGCTTTGGGTGACCAATGGCGCGCCGATCTGGGAGAGCGGCCGGGCACCGAAGGGCTCTCATGCGCGTTCAAATCTGGTAAACCCAACGGAAACTGGTTGCCGTTTGGGTGTGTTGTTTTGTTTCGGGACTACCCCAAAAACGTTGGTTCCCAAAACAACAACAAAACACCTGTTACCATTAAAAACCAAAAGACAGTCCCATGTTTCGATTCCACGGGAGCAACCGCTGCGGCCAAAAAACGGTACACAACAAAAGCTCGCCTCGTCTCTCTGAGGCCGTGCTCCTCGGCCTTGGCACCGCCTTCGTGGCCCCATGCTGGGCTCTCATCCTTTCAAGCAAGCAAGCAGGAAGAGACGTCGAGTAAACGAGCGGCAAGATCTCCAAGTTTTCGCCAAAAGTTCTAGCGGTCGATTCCTGTTCCATTCTTTTCAGCCATCGTTCTTTTCAAAAGCCAGTCATTTCCCCAGGGTTTGTGGTGGTGTTCCAGAAAGAAGGATCCCCGGAAAGAACGGGGAAGCTACCCCTAGAAAAGTACTATTCTTTTTTGTCCTTGGCTGTGTCTAAGTTCCTGGAGTCTAGCTGCGTCTATGTTTCGATCACGAGAGGGATGCAGGAGCGATGGCTTTGGGATGTCGCTGAGGTGAATTGCCAAGGCTGGATCCCAAGCCAGCACTCATTGCACTGAGATGGTTTGAAGACAAAATCAAGACTCAGGCAATTGGAGGGGACACTCCCCTTACATATTTCTTTGCCCGGTCGACCTTTCTATTCTTCTTGAGCTGCGAGGCAGGGAGCCTTGCCTGAGCTGGGCCAGATTGTGGGGGCCTTGGAGTAAATCAAGCAGCCACGGAGTGTTTTTGGGCGCCTTGTCAGGCTCTGGCCCAATCTGCGCCACAGCAGCTTGGATCGCAGCTGAGAAATCCTTGGCGCCCCAGCCCCTGGGGATTCTCAGGAACCTGACGCCCCTCGAGAAGTTCGGCCCAGACCCTTTCTTCTACACCTACATTATCGTGTCTATTCTTGTGGTGCTGGTGCCTTGATACGCAGCGAGCTTGTGTTGTTCGTTTGTTTCGTTTGTTTCTCCGTTTTTCCCCCCGCGTCTCTGATTCGTATAGCGGGAGCCATGCAAGATATCAACCGAAGCGGACTGTTCCTTGACCTTGCGTCAGAAGTTAAGTGATGTTGGTTTTTCCTGTTTAGGGCTGGTTCGAAGGGGAGCCAACGGAACACCACCAAAGGCACAGATCCATTGCAGCTGTCTCTTGTGTCGCCCTGACACAAGGTCTCCCTGTACCTCATCACGAAGCCGTACTGGGAACAGCGATGGTTGATCGAGCGCATCAACTCGCAATCCAGCTGCACTCAGGCTTTCTGTGACTGAGTCAAGTAAATTGTAAGCCCATGGGCATCCACACACACACATTGCCCACCCAGGCAGAAGCTCAAGTTCATCACCAACGAGTCCGAGGCAATGAAAATGAATTTTGAGCTACAGAGGGTTGCAGGAGCTGCTGCCTTACTGTCTTGCGAACTCTGTGCGAAGAGATCGGGAAAGTGATAACAGACGCAAGAGCAAGAGACGATCCGCACGGAAGTTGCCAATTTGACTGAGTTTTCCCACAATAATTTAAATCCATACTCCATGCACGAATGTAGGCATGCTCCAGTGAATCAACGAGCCCAAAAGCTGCATTGTCACAAAGCACGAACGCCCGTACACAGTCTTGCCTGTTTTGTTTCTTTTGTTCCTTTTGTGACTTCGCCTGATGTTCCTGGATGCTGCTTGCTGGGTCTTTGGTCTGACTGCCATTGTGGGCTGCGCGATCAATGAGAAGATTGAAGTGAGCCGCGAGCCGCCGCGGACGTTGCAGCAGGTGTCGCAGGTGATGCTCTCCCTGGGCGGGTTTGTCTTCGCGGTGTTGCTGCACCGCCGGGTCTCCGGGTCCTGGTGGTCCCCTGGGAAGTTCCTGCTGGTCTTGGGTGCGTTTTGGCTGGTGCTGGAGAACCTGGACACGGCGCTGGGCGGCGTGCTGTTTGGAGACCACCCCTGGGGCGAGGCCATGGCCAGCATGCCCATGCTGGGCGCCATGCCGGCGCAGCAGCCCATGTCCCTGCAGCCTCTGCTGTTTCTGCCCCTGCATCTGGCGGAGTCCTGCCTCCCAGCCCGCTCCCCCTGGCCCCGGGCCATCCTGGCCGCCCTCTTCGCCACTTTGTTGGACGCCGCGGCGGAGCCCGCGTGGCTCGCGTCGCGGCTCTACAGCTATACCGGCTGCGCGAGCCCGGAGAGCTGCATCCACGGGGTGGACCCCCGGAACTATGTCTCTTGGTTCGTGTTTATGAGCCTGGGCTACCGCACCTTCATGCTTTGGGATGGGCGCTCAACTGCGCGGAGCATGCCATGGTCCATGGCGGTGCTGCCGTTCTTGGCATGGTTCGCACAGCTGAAGTGGTTCTTCAACGTGATTGGGCACGCCGGTGGAGGGCGTGGCGTACAACTCAGCAGCTTCTTTGTTGGCAGTGTTCCAGCCGTTGTTGCTGCCTGCCAGTCCAGACACGCAGAAAGAATGCCCGAGAAGTTGAGCTAACACTCGACGCAAGGCGCGCCAGCACGGCGCGGACGGGAGATCATGGTCAAGCTTTTGTCAAGCAGCCGGCGCTGCGCCAAGGAAGCGCCGAGGATTGCTGGCAGGAAAATTGGGGCTACCGGCATTGTTTGTTTGTTTGTTTGTTTGTTTGTTTGTTTGTTTGTGTGTGTGTGTGTGTGTGTGTGTGTGTGTGTGTGTGTTTTTTTCCGATATTGGGAGGACTTTTCCAAATGTTTGATGCCACCACCAGCCGAAGGGGGGGTCCAACATATTTGGATAGGCCCATGAGTCGGATGGAATGAGGATCGAGACCTTCCACTTCCCCAGCGCCGCCCCCCTGCAACCATTCTTTGCCAGTCGTGTAATGATATATTTACATAATATTTTATATGATGTCATATGCCCATAACTATATACACCATACACGGTGTTGATTGCATACAGCATGTCCCCCTCAATAGTGCTTCGCTTTTTTTTTCTCTTTTTTTTTTTGTCTTCGGCAGGTCACCCCGCGAGAGCAGTTCGAGCTGGGCCGCATGACGCTTGGCAAATGGACAGCGCGTAGAGCTCCGAGGTTTTCGCTAGCCCCAAGCCACGAGTCCCAGATGCCCTACCGCCAATGAACATGGACACCGACGTTTTGGGGTCCTAAAGTAGGACCATCTTCCTTCTTAAAGGGACCTGGGCCAGGCAGGTTCCATGTTAAGACAGGTGGGAGGGCACTGGGGAGACTGCGAGGACCTCGAAGTGGCTCGTCTCTTTTAAGGCTGGGGCCCTCCAGAATGGCTTCGGGCGTGCTTTTGGTTTCCCCTTGAAACCCACACAGAGGCACCTTGAAGAAAAAGAGCATCACTCCCACTTGCGCTGTTGATTCTTCTTTTGGAAGATCACTGATTGCAAGCATGAATCGAGCAACACTTGCATGACGCAAGTGAGCAAAGCTTCAGCTGCAATGCTACTGCGATGTATGAGGTACAATGCTCTGAAGGACTTTCCCAGTGCGCTGGCTGAGCTTCTTGGCATCATGAGGCGAAAGGAGGGAACAGAGGCGACTTCAGGCCACAACTGCGAGCCAGCATCGCTTAGACCCCGATTTTCTGCGGCGCTTGGATGATGTCAAATGAGTGGTCGCATCAGTCCAAACGTGGAGACAGAGCCACGGGCCATGCCCTACATGCATGTGGCGCAGATGCAGGTTTATGAGCGACCGCCGAGGTTCGAAGAGGTGGAAGACGATTTTGACGAGATCCGATCAGTGCTAGATCCGGAGGACACGGATCGCTTGGGTGTTCAGCTCAAATGGCCGTGGAAAAAAGTCAACATCGGGTCGGAAAAACGAAAAAAAGTCAAACAAAAAGCGAAACACATTCCCAAAATAAATGCGCGCCCCTAAAAAACTCGGGCGGTTGCATGAAATTCCACACATGTCCACAGGGTTTCCCGGGTCTGCATAGCCCCCAATTCTCTTCACCGCGCACAGGACGCCATGGGCGCCTTGGCCGCCCGGGCGCAGCTGCACAACAGCAAAGGCCCTGCCTAAGTCTGACATGGCTTTGGTTTCGTTGGCCCGAAAGGGGCCCAACCCAAAAGGATGGCCGGGGTGGCCAAAACCGTTAAACGGATTTTTCGCACTTTGGTTGGGATTGGGTGAATTCACCACAGAGTTTTTGGAGTTCCTGTTTTAGTGGTTGGAATGGGATGTTGACTGGGGTATTTGGATTTTGACCCATGGCCGGATGTTGGGACATAGCCTTGGGGTCCTTTCTGCCAGGCTTTGCTTTGATGAAGCTGGAGCCGCCCCGCACGGCGCAAGCACGGCGCGAGTTTGTGCGGGCCGTGACGTGACTGGCTTGCAATGCTAGGCCTACGTCCTGCGTCCTCCAACTTGATGGTCAAAGTGACAGGTCCGCTTTGCGCCATTTTGAAAGGAAGCAAAGGTGACGGGCCTTCAAGATGGTACCCATGTAGCCCACTCTCAGGGAAGGGAAAGGTCAGGCTGCTCGACACAGCTGGAAGATAACTCAAGTGGACAATAGCGACAAATCACACCATGCGGACAAAGTACTCGAGACCTGAAGCAGCCAAGGTACTGGCCGGAGTATCCCGAGGCCGCTCGACTGAGATGACTGATGGTCATGTCGGTGATTCTTTTCAGCAATGCCGGCATTGAAACATTCATATACTGAGATACAAAAAACATATGGTTAATCTGCTGAAATGGCGCAATGCCAGTTTGTGC